TATAAGTAAATCGATAGTACTTGCAATTTACAAGGAGAAATTGAAAATGCCCTCAGGAACGAATGCGATTACGAATTGGCATTTGAAAAGAGGGAGTTTTCTCTCCACACTGCCACTTTTGTAGCCTTAACTTAAATTGAAATCCACCCAGTTTTGCTGTTTGAATCAGCCTTTAGCAAGAGATTAGGGTCGCAGGGCTTTCCGCTAATAGCTCCTTAAGGGATTAAAGGCCTTAATAACTGCAGGATAATAATATTCATTTTGCTTTTGCATAGCCATAACACTTTGTCCTTATTGAAGCTTAAAGCATTTTTTATCTTACTTACTTTACCAGTCGATGAATATTTCATTACTCAAATTTATTTTGTCCGAACCTTTATCCAATTTAATTTAATAAGGTAGTTGGGGCTTTTGGATTTATTGATTTTTCATGCGCATTTGTTCAAACATCCGGTACAAGATGGCGTATCCGATTTTCCAAATAGTCTCACTTCATATCTTGTAATAATTTCTATTTTGCAATTTTACGTTAATTAGACGAATCAAAAGGACACTTTCCGGCAATAAATGGGCATAATTCGGCAACTTCAGCAACTGTTGGTTGGCAACTTGATAAACGTATCAATATTTATGTGTTCTGTCAAAATCTAAATGGTTAGCATTGTTAAAATATTTTCTCTTAAAAAAGCGATACTGCAACCTATCACAAAACAGCTCATATTTATAAACTAATTAGATAGCAAAATTTCAGTGCCCCAGAAGGAAGTAATGGGATGACACCATGCTTTCAGTTTAAACTCCTATTTTCAAAATAGTTCTGAATTTCTAATAGTCGTCATTTCATATTCAGAATTTTCGCCTATGTAAATTTGATGGGAATTCGATAGCATTTGACGGGATTCTGATTTAGTGAATAATCAATTTTAGTTTTAAAACATTTGCTCAGTTCTGTATCCACCATAGAGATCATAGTTTGTCAAATGCTTGACGCATATTTAATTAATTCCAGACTTAAACTTGAAACATAAGAATCATTTACATTTGAAACAAAAGTGTAATTTATTTTACAGTTGCATATGTCTTTTCAACATTGATTCGGAAAATGTAATACTTTCAATTTACAATGAAAAGTGATGAATGATATCCTCTCCTAAAACCAAGCATTATTAATGTTTGCTTTCCTTCAGGGTCATATAGTCCAGTACATTTCACCGAATATTCCTATTATGATAACTAAATTATTTATATAATGGAATCAAAGTAAGAAATAGTCGTTAGCATGTAGTATATAATTCCACCGATAGAACAAATCGTTGGAGTGATTTGTGCACTCCAAACAAATAAATCGATGAGCAAAGTAGAGTACTTTGTTAGAAATTTGCAGTACGAAGAAGTAAGAATCAGAAAGGCCTATCTTGTTGTATTAAAAATGACTGATTCATTATAGCTAATATTCAAAATTTAGACTGGTTGAGTTCTTTTAATTATTAGAAATGTGTAAAATGTCAAAGTGTACTTTAAATTATATCTCGGTCTTCAGATCTAGATATAATCGCACTATTAGATTCTGTTAGTTATCAATTCCATGCCAAAAGGTACTTTTTAAAAGCATCTTAATGTAAGCATATATTTAGCTTTGGCGAGTTCTCAAATGGACGATTTTGTCATGGCGCAAGGTCCAATAAATGAATTGACTACTTCTGGCAACCTAGTTCGGTACCTTATAGTTAAAAGTATATTTTAGGTTATATTTAAAAAAATAATTTACTTCCTTATAGAACAGGCAAGAACTATTTAAGTAAGTCCATTTTTCACAATACTTAAATCTTTAACAGAAACTAAAAGGAGCATTTTATTTGATTTTACTATGAGATCGACACAATAATTAATCTTGACATGTCATTTAGTATTTTCGCTTCCCTACTGTGGCTGAGAAGGTAAAGTGGTCATACATAATATCCAACAACTTACAGTTCTAGCATATGCAAGTTCAAATTCTCATATGAAAATGATAAAAATCCCTCTTTAAAAATAGAGATGCTTATGAACTAATGACAACGTAAAAAACAAAACTTAATTTTAATTGAATGCAGAATCTATTCAAATATACTATCTACATTTGAGAAAAACACCATTAGTCGTTTATTATAGTGTTGTCATCGTTCGGCGATCTGTTTGAAAGTAGGAATCTTGTTGAAATTACAAATAATGGAATTTGTTAAATCATAAGGTGCACTCCACAAATTTCACATCCATTCTTCAATCTCCTTAGGTTAAACCAATTGAGCATGTGACCTTTTGCGTTAACACTATCAGGTCTTAAATGAAGAAAGGTCACTAACACAAGCAAGATTGGTTACGTCTGAGCCTTATTGAAAAAATCAATATTTATCACTTAGCGCTGCACAATCAGTAATGATAACAGCCTATAATATTCCGTTTGCGAGAATCGACATTGAAAAAAAGTATTGTTCCAAAGGAAAATAAATAGTAATTGGAGGGTGGGCATTGTGGGACACGTTATCGCGTTGTGCGTCATCATATGCCTGCATGTCTGCTCGCCAGGATTGGGAGGTGCAGCCGTACAACTCTGTGTGCAGCGACCGTACAAACAGTGACCAATCATTAACCTCTGTTTAACCTAATCCCCCATCCTGATCATGAGTAGCTCCCTGCGTGTACACTTGATCCGCAACATATGTACTGAATAAACGTGCTCCGTGTTACACGTCTGTTTCCCTTATAGCTGGGCTATAGCTTAGCTGGTTCTGGGAGTCTAGGTAGATGTAGGAGGATCTGCCATAGAGATTTCCGAGTTAGTCAGGCTTTACTAAGGTAGCAATCCGCTACAGCATTGTGATTCCAATCTATTTTCTTTTTACTATGCTTTTCGAATGATTTATGTACAAAATGAGGAATTGGGCTTAAAGTACGGTGGAATCTGGTTAAATTACTGACTTTGGTAATATTAACAAACATTTCAACTGGTCTAAATTCAAAATAACTTCAGAATCACATTGATGAAATTCTCCCATTCAAAATCATGCTAAAAATTATTCCTCTAACGCTTGTCCAAAATGTGTAATATAGGCTAACTTAAGTGCAATTTGAACTAAATCATAGACAGTCAGGTATTTTCATTGTTTTGATTCTGGAATGTAACAAGGATTAACCTCGTGAAAACCAGAATAATGTGTCTAATTTTGCTTGCCTACTTCTGTTGCATTTACGAATTTAAATAAAATATTCTATCTAGGATTACATTTTTTTACAAAGCATATGTAAGATTGATGGATTAACAGTAATACATAATTAAAGTCGTGGTTGGGCTATTTGGTACTTAACATTGTTCCCCTAAATTTATTCACTTATCTGTTAGAGTTTTACTTATATGGAATATTCATTTATATCAAATGGCTTCTGGCTTCAGAGGGAAGGAACAACAAAGCGAAAAAAAGTTGAGAGGGGGGCAGAATAATGTTTCACAGATGCAAAGAGACAGACATAAAGGTAGAGCAAAAGGTGAGGTGGTAGTGTTGAAGTGGTCGAATATGATATGTGGGGTCATGGTTGTTTGAATTCAGAAATCGACTGCCTGTTTATAGACTTTTTGCCGTATGAGTATACGTTGTCTAGGGTGTACCAATTTGAGATAAGTTTATCGCACACACCTGACTAGTGTCACATCGAACGATAAAATTGATTGAAATGTAATAATGATTATGATAAATCAAAATTAACATCAACATATTGATTAAAAAGGAAATTTAACAATTAATATTTACTTAAAGATTTTTCACCAATAAAATATTGACCATTTGGTTATTATGCAGTTGCTTATATCCGAGATCTATTTACATTTAAAGCTCTTATAAAAAGTTTAAACGTAGCTCATAAAATAACGTTCATCCTGGAAAAAGTCATAATGTATTAATTGTTCTAAAGTAGGATGACCAAGAGTTAAGAGGGACCAGATGCACATTGTTAGAATGGGAAAGAACGAAATGGAAGTGAAATAGATAGAGAGGAATTTGGAAGGAGGCGAAAATGTCAATACTCATTGAATGATGAGGAATGAGTGGAGTGTAAAATTAAATGCCATTTAATTGATATTAACTCACCTATCTGTTGATAAATAATAGGAAGGAAAAAGGTTTTGAGTATGAAGCTGAAAGATAAATAGCGAAGGCACCAACCCATGATTCTGCTTGTAAACATTATAAAACAGAAGTGAGACAAGATGTCTTGAGAAAATAATCTTTTATTGTCAACAAATATGGTAGCTTCGGACTACTCGCAAATCTGACTTATTTACACAAAAATCAACCTCATACTAATCTACGAAATCGAAAGTAAAATGTGCATATGTTAGAACAGATTTAGATTTGAAATAATAAAATTTATTTTAAACTAATTAATATGTAATTTTATTCAGTTTAATACCTTTATTCTGAAGAACGAAAAAAACATTAGAAATCGTTGGATTAAAATACCACATATTCAGTAAAATATCATTTAATATTTTTTCAAATATTAACAAAATTTAATTATTTAGTTTATAAAATTAAAAATTTTATATTTATAAATTTACTTTTAAGTTTATTAAAGTTTAGGCTATATCCGAATAAATTATCCAATGACGGTTTGATACAACTGCATTATCAGCGGTTGTTTTCAGTGCGTAAGTTGTGTGTATTTGATTGTTAATATCGAGGAGTTAATATCGAATATTTTAACAAGAGGGGCGTGTTGGAGACCTGTTTCCGATGTATATTTTGCACGTTAACCCATCCAATAATTTCTTTTTATCTACTACCATCATAATCATTTATTGACCTATTACGGTTTAATTTGTATATTTAGTTTCAACCTTTCACATTGTTTTGGTACATTTATCAATTTCTACTAAGGTTAATCATAAACTTCTTTATTTTAATAATACAGTAGATGAGTCTGTTTTTGCTGCTGACCTTATGTTTAAATTTGATTACAGCTTGATAATGGATGATAATATAGATAACGTTGGCTTTATAAACAGAATTCCAGCATTAGCTGAGAGCGAGGATATGGAATCCGTTGGAACAGATTATGACGATGCGGATGACGTTGATGGTGAGTCTCCTCCACCCATCGTCGATCGATATGGTTTTAGCGGGGGCCAGCAATACACTGATCCTAGCAAGTAGGTTATAGAATTGTTGTCCTTTTATGGCCAACTTTAGAGAGTACCTTCCACCCATTGATGTCCTCCGTTCACGTGAAATGAAGTGGATAGAAATGTGTCGGAATTGGGATTACTGGTCTACAAGTGGAATTAAGAAACTTCGTGAACGTTGTCGCAAAGGTATCCCAGATTCCATGCGAGGAGAAGCCTGGCAACGACTTATCGGCAGTGCAACTACAAAATTCCAGCAGATAAAAGCCTTTGTGGCGGAGCCACCAATTGAACAACCTCCTCCTGGAATTTCTCCTCTTCGTAAACTATTTGGCAGCTCTGCACGTCTCAGTGGTTCGCGAAGTCTTCCTACAGTAGTAACTAATTCCCCCAGTACTGGTCGAAGTCGCATTCTCGAGTCTTCGTAAGTTGCACGGGCTTATTTCTTTTGTTTTTACGTGCTATCTTGGTTTGTGCTTCTAATTCATACATACGTAGAAAACTGCAACAACAACTACAACACTTCTTGTAGGCTCTTCTACATCCCTGAATTTCTTTACAAAAGGTGAGTCATTTTAATCCTCTTGTTCACTCACAACGCAGATAGGCTGCGCGTGTATCAAAATACCTTCCTCGCTTTACGTTTAACACCATATGCATCGGTGTGTATCTGTATCCTTAACAAGCTCTTCCAATTTATTCCATGGAATTTTGATGACAAGAGTGCGTATGGCAATCCATGGGCTGGTGTTCTCCTCCACTATTAGTGGATTTTTCGAAAGTTTTAATCTTTCTGGCTCTCTCTGGACATGTAAACATTGACAGCCTCTGACCAATTCTCCTAGCTAGTTCCTAATGGATTTTGTTTACATGTTTGTGCGCCTGTTATTTTTTAAGCTATTTCCTACTAGTAGGCTTATTACAGATAACTTTTCGTTTTATCCATTACTGATCTTATAAAGCTCTAATCCACATTCTATGCACTGCTTTTTGGTTTCTTTGTTAAAGATTGCTTTTGTGTCTTCTAACGCTATGAAATGAGTGGGGTTATTGTCTGTCTAATTTGCCTTCCTAACAGAATTTTTATTTGTATTTTTGCTTCTCTTAAAGAAACACTACGAACAGAGACGAAGTTAGCGTATTTCGCAGTTCTTGCTATGAATCGTGGAGTTTTTAATGCAACTTTAATTTCAAGTTTTTGAAAGAAGAAATGCATGTGTGACCATGTATTGGGGAAATAAAGCTTTTTTTGGGTTGCCTGCAGCTTCACAGTCAAGTATGCTTTTGTCAACTTTGACACTAAAGATATTCCTAATGGTATTGTAGTTAACGTGCTCGTCTCCTGAGACAAGGATAATGTGTGCGGTTCACATTGGCGGCTCTCATTTTCTAATGAACGAATCAGTCGGATTAATTAAAATTGGTCAGGAAATTGATGGTGAAAACCTAGCTTTAATCAATGAGACTTCAGAATAGCAATCCCCTTTCATAAAGAAGAGCCATTCTTTGAATATTGTTTCACTCCTTCAGCATTCGTCTTCTCCAAACCAATAGTTAGGAATGAGTCTCTTTTATGCTGTTTCTCATTCCCTCCGCTGCAATCTAATAATGATTAATTGCTCGTCGTTAATTCTATAAATTACGCCATTGTCTTTTAATGAGTCGGAAATGTTATTATTATTTTTTTCTTCTGTCATTTGTTAATAGAGCTCTTTTAATGATTGTTTCTAACTTTAAATGTATTTTGATTTGTTTTTCATCCAGTAAATCATTTATTGTTATGAATGAATCCGAATATTTTCTTCAAATATGTAGTTTATAATAGAGTTATTGATTTAATTGCCAACTTGATTTCTTTCCCAATCGTCTTATGGTTGTTAGTCTCAGAACTAAAATTATTTCCCCAGTATGAAAACTGAAAATGCACGCCAATCTCTCATTCGTTGAGAAACTTTGACTCGACCATCTTTCAATTGCCCCTGTTGTGTTTTTTTATTTCCCTCTTTGTCCCATTTTTCCCTATTGATCTTTAAGCAGTTGTCCGATTTCTTCCAATAAATAAAATTCTGTATCTTAATTATATGGTGATATATAAAATCTTTCTCCTGTAGTACTGTTTGTTAAGCTTGGAATGAAATTCGCTTAGCAATTTTCATTGTCTTACGTTGACCATTGTTAATCTAGGGGTCCATCCTCTGATGGGACTCAGCTCTATCTTTCCCCTCTGCCACCGGCACTGCTGTTCATTAGTAACCAAGATTACTTTACTGCTTTGATGGTCAAAGGCTTCTATTGTTTCATAACATTCAGTACGCGATTTCCGCTAACTTTTTGTCAGTTTTGACCAAATTGCAATTATTTTCTCGCTACATCGCTCTAATACCTTAGCCTTGATCTTTGACTTCGCTGCAGTTTATTTACCTCCTTTCTATTTTACTCTCAATTAAGGAATACAGGTGGTCATTTCGATCACAGCATTTTTACCTCTCAATTGCTTTTATTGTATGTCTTGATGTTCCTTCTTTTGAAAACCGCACTGTTGAATGTTGTATTATCCACAATTCGCGTGTGTGCCAGCAGCGCAGTGGTTAACACGCTCGTCTGTAAAGTCAGATGTCACCGATTTGATGCCTACACACTGTTCTAATCTAGCTAATAAAGGATGGAGGGGTTGAAACTCTTTGGCTTTTTAACCAGGATTGCTTTTTGACTTTCTGCATTTGCCCAGTTGTTTGTTCTCCAGTCCTATTTGGTTTGATAAGTTATAGACTACTACCGGTCTAACAGATGGACCGCTTTCAGTAAGTGTTTCTCGTCAACTAACTTCTTGTATTATGCGTTCAAAGCTTTGCAGACTTGCCTGTCGATTGCGTTTCTCAGCTCATTTCTTAGCACGAATTTGATTGAATCCCAGTCCTTGGTCTTCTCATGTATACTGACCCTTGCAGTTGTGTGTGTGTGTGTGCGTCGTGTTCAAGGTCCTTAGCCATGCGCGCATTGGCCTTGGTGTACAGATGCACTCTTACCCAGCGTGCAAGTGTGTGTGCGTGCGCAAACTGCCGAAAATTTGTGTGCACATATGTTATTCATCTGCGGACATCAATTTTCATCCTGGTATCACGACTAGGTGATGAATAACTAGTATCCTCGCCTCTTTCTATGCCACTCTCTTCAGTTGAATTAATCTGGGTTCTATTTGAAATCACGTAGTCGTGTTCGCTTATCTTTGAGATTTTCAAAAGGCTATTTTTATGTGGATTTATTGTTGTCGTTTCAAGTTCTTCATGATCTTTAATCTCGTAATTCACAGTGAAAAATTTGGTACCTCAGTCGTTGAGGTTATTCACCTCTATTGAATGGCATTTTATTGCTAGTTTTAATCTCACAATTCTCTCAATGGTAGTTTTCATTTACCAGTTGGCTGGGCTACCTTTCATATCTCATGTTAAGACTATTTCTTGCGTTTGGCCCATGTTACTTGGCTTTGGCCTGCTTAATCAACTGGCCTTTTATTTAGCCTTAGAAGACTCCAAGGGGTGGGGTGGGGGAGGGGGGAGGGCATGTCTCGTCTCAATCAAATCTTTATTTTATTAATTGCAACTGATCAGATTGACAGACTTAATGACGAGAAGCCCAATCGTACTCAGTTCACCATGTCCCAAGTAGAGTTTGTCATGTGATCTTACAATGGACCCCGGATACTCATTTACTATTGTATTGTAGTTTTCTCCCTATAGTCTTTCTGTTAAGCATGTTTTTTTTATCCCGATTAGCTTCCATTGATTAAATCGTAGTTTTGTCTTCCTGTAATGCTTGTGATGCTTCCTATTGCGAAAGCAGTAGACAAACTTAAGACGTACTTTAATTCGATTTTTTTAGCTTTACTTATTACCTATTCGTTGGTTGGTGCTTCCGTTGTTACGATTATTTATTACGTCAAATTGGTATTTTAAGATCGTATAATCTTGTTACTATGGTACCTATTTCCTGTTTGGCGTTTAATAGACCTGGTAATTGTGGTTTAGACTGTTACCGGTTAAAAATCCAAGATCAATATGTATTTAAGCATTCTTTACTCTCACAGTGATTATTTGTTTCTTATTATTCGGTTTGGCTGCGTTCTCTACCTTATTTTTATTGCTATTTATCATTCCTAAGTGACCTTACTGGCCTTCTGACCTTTTATTGTGCCCTGTTTCCGTCGTACCGCTTTGTTGTCCTCTTTGCTCCCTTTTTTCTGACCGCAGTTTTGCGGGCTGTTGTTGAAATTTCAATTTATTTTCTTATTTTCACAAATTCAAGTAGGGAAAGTATCAACATATCCTTACTGGGAGACTTTCAACGCCTTTCTCAAGTATAGCTTCCACCTAGGCATGATGTATCACGCTTGTACATCGTTAAATTATGGGTTTTTACAACTCATTCAATTTGCGTAAAGCACCTAAGTTTTTATCTGAATTGGATTTACGGGCGATTTAGGTGGTAAATTGCTTTTATACTTGGAGAACAATTTTTTATCGAACCGCTTTGATGGCGACTTACTCCTCATGTACTGTTTTCAAATAAATGGCGATTTCTATTTCATTTCTTCACTCTCTCTAAGCCTTTGCTGTTAATTCTTACTTGGCAGCCTTTATTGGGAGGCCAATAATGCGATTCCAATAGGCCCTTTTTATTATCCCTGTGGTGTGCAGCCATATAACTTCTCCAAAATTTTGATCTCAGTTTCCTCTCTAAATTCGCATATTGGAACAATATTACTATATGGGATCTTAAATTATGAAATTTTAATTTATTCAAATGACGTTGAATACCCTTAGATGGATATTTTTTGTGTCGTTATACATTCCAATGCAAGGTCTACTGACCCATAGGTAGCTTAACTTAACGGTTTGTAGAATCATTTGTATGGGAATTAAATCCATTTTGCATCAAATTGTGACTGTGTAGACATCTTTCAACTCTTCTGCTAATGCGTATTTGAGGCATGGTGAGCTTGAAGGAAATGTAATGCAGTTTTATAAATGCAAGGTTAGAGCGGGTCAAAAAGAAGTAATGAGCAAATATTAGGATCATGAAGTCATCTGCCCACAATGCCATTTCCATCTTCTACAGAATGTGACGAAATTTGGATACATCTAAAATACGAATCATTCATGGGTTACAATAACCCCATGTTGGCCTGAGACTGATCTAATTCATACTGCTTCCTGCTTCCAGTTGTTCACTATCAGCGTTTTTTAGTTGGGTTATTAAGATGCAATACCATCTGAAAGCTACCTGAAAAATATTGCTAGGCACACCTCTCCTTAGTTCCTAAAGACAGCCATTCTATTCACCGACTGTTGTGACATTGTCACCTAGCTTTGCGCTTAACATTTGGTTTTAATTTTTATTTTCCTTATATGGCTGACGTTTTACATAATGGGTTGGCGCATGGATTTCGCTTTTGTTTAGAAAGAAAAAAAAACACTCGTAACATTTCTAAATTTGGGCAGTCTGTGTGTCCTTTTTTCGTTTTTTGGCGTTCAAATAATGCGCGAGTTTATATTTGTATAACTACACCTTTGCTCCTCATCTCTAGGTGCAACATTTTATCGCCTGAAGCCCAAAATCCCTCTTACGAATAGTTAAGCCACCTACCTTTCTTTCAATGGACAAATTTAAATTTCGACATTATATGCACATTTTTCCCTGGTGATGTTAAAATTTTATTAAATCTCTTCTCTGTCATAATGGAAATGGTATTTAATTACTAAATTGTGTATCCAAACTAATGGATCACCTCATACAACCCATATTTTAATTTATACCCTTATACAAAAATTAAAACATTTCAAAGTATTTCTTCTCTACTCCTCTACTTTTTTAGGTAGATATTTTGGGATTGTTTAATCAAATTATATTCCTTTAATATTTCGTCTCGTTGCCTAAATTGATTGATTGGATATTGTATTTTTGTACAAATATTCCAATTGCTGTTTCGTGACTTCTCGATTTTGAAAGATATAATATGCGCCCTCCTGTCTATTTCTTCGAGTTTTCTTTCATTTTATGTATCTACATTTGTCATTTGTACCCTTTGAGAATGTTCTCATGAATTCACCAACTGATTTGGCTCCTGTTTTGCAACATTGTATCTCTCCATAGTTCTATTGCATTAAGTTATGTTAATCTCTTGCTACCTTTGCTTGTCATTAATAATCCAGCCTCTTTGTAGCGAAAGGCATGGAAGGAAAGTGAAATAGAAGAATATCTTCGCTTCAATTCCTAATAATGGGGGTCACTATTCGAGTTTAAACTAAGTAATCGATTGTTTATTTTAGTAGAAATAATTGAACGCTTTTAGTCGCCTTCGGAAAAATATTTTGCAAATATGCCATTTTCTCTCGTGTTTGAAATGGAAAGTGTTGCTGAACGCCCCTGTAAACGATACTTTTATTTTAAAACATCAATATTTCTGTCAGTCCCCTAGGAGGTGTTTTCAGTTAATGGCTCTATTTTAATGGACTTTGCAAACTGGATTCCATATTCTTACGTAATTTTTTTATCTCTGACTTTACTTCAAGGTGTTTGTTTATTTACAAGCGCAGGTACCTTGCTTGTGTGATGCAAAGTGCGCCCTGACTAGTCTTTTCTTAGGCGTTTCCACTAGAGGTTTGATTTTCTAAGTTGTCCGAAATTATTCCTCTTTCCATTCTTTTCAGTGGTGTCCATTACAGTAGCGCAAACCGAGGAGTGTGTTTGCAACCGCGTTATCGCACTCATTGCTTATTGTTTCTATTACCCTCTTTGGTGGTTGATTTTCTTGCAATTTCACAGCCTACTTTCTTACAAATAAACTAAAATGTTTATTGCTTAGCTGTGTTCCAAAAGGCTAGTACTGTCTATTGGAACTAAGAATGTGAAGTAGAAATATGATGTTTTATAGATTTCGTTTGCGTATTCTTTCACGTTCTCTCTTTTTTCTATCGTCATGTCCTTGTTCACGTTCAATTGGAACCTTGTTAAATTAATAATTTTATCTTTTAAAGCTTTCTCACTCATAACACAATCTTTTAACACGTAAATACTCTCCTTAACTTAATTTCATTCCCTCTCTTTGGGATTAGTAGATTTGTATTCAGGCGGATATAAAATTGTACCCGCCAACTGTAGCCAATGAGCATTTTCCTTAGCATTCCTTTTCATTCCCTTAATCTGGGGAATATTCAACCTCGGTGCTAAATAACATTACTATTTCATCTCTCTCACTACGGAATTAAGTATCTAAAGCTACGATTGTTTTCCTTGTGTTCCTTTTCCAGGCATTCGAAACCTCCTCTTCCACCCTCGAGTCTCCCACCTCTTCTCCCCCATCCAGCCTCCATCCGTCAACAAAATGAATCGATCTCTTTAAGTCCCCAAGACAGTCTCGCTCGCCGTCGTCGTGGAAAGAATGGTTCTAATTCCTCGCAGTTTATGTCTTTCCGCAAGTTCTCCTCTCTATTTCGCCTCAACTCCACATCTACTACTGGTACTGTCACTAATCCGAGTTCTGCTCAACCACCCTCCAATAGTACAGATGACCCTACCGATGAGACAGATGCCGCAACCTTCTATCAGAGAGGAGAAATTATCACCGCTGGTCATCAACAAGATGGTAACAGAAGTGGAAGCAATGAGCGATCACGAACGTACAGTGTTGCTTTGCCCTCTGCCGCTTATCTTGGAATATCAATTGGGACTGGTGAGGGAGCAAACGGGAAGGGTTTTGTGAGTGGAGTTGGCCATCAACCCAGTGATAGCACGACGACTACGACATCAACGGGAGTATCTACAGATGCTTATTCAACGTCAAGTAACTTCTTTTCAGCAGCTGAAAGCTCGGCTGAGAATCTACGGGTAAGTGTCGCCTAAAGACAAAGCACATATCGCTATTTATTGTCCATCCATATTTATGGCATTTTTATCTTCATGCACCCCTAATTTATTTATTTATCAGACTTATTTTAGATTTCGAAGCATCCAAGCGATGTGGTTTTTGTCGCCAAAGCCTATATCCAATTACATTTATGGATTTGTTATTTAGGTTTCATTTTACTTTAGAGAATTATATTAATTCACTGCTAAAGGTATATGTTCGTACGAAAATTATTTGTTCTACTGAATGTCTGGCCGTAGAGCTGGGAAATGTAGGGTTTTTATTATTTTAGCTTAATTAGTTTATTTTAGTTTTCCATTGTTTGGTATGACCCCTCGTTGTTCGCAGTCCACCAGTGACACGCCTATCTGTGTGTCCTCACTGGTGGTTTAACTGCCCAACTACACTTGTTAATCATTGTTCCATTTCTCAAATTGGCTGCTTCGGCCTAACTTCTTTCTGCCTCTAGGTTCGCATTGTGTGTCTTACTTTTTACCTTATGTCTCTAATTTTATCAGTTTTTTTTGGGACATTATTTCTGGACTTCCTGTCCTTTAAATCCATTCTACTTTAGGTCATCATTTGCCTTTGTCATTTTCAAAATACGATTCAGTCTTTGAATGCCCTCGACTCGCTTAGATTTTTTTGTAACAATTTTTCAATAGTCTCCTTTTTTACAGCAATGATGAAAGACGTATTTAACTTTGGAAAGTAGAAAGCAGCAGAACTCATATTTGACCCGCTCTTATTTCTTTTTTCTATGTTTGTTTGCTCTGATCTGCATGTCTGAGCTGGAAATCGGTTGCTATCAGTCACAATTTATTATTCACCTAGTTGCTTAATCATTTTGTCAACTTTAGTGTTAACTATTTTTCCTCTGATGTGTGCTTCATTAGATAGCTCCTACTTGAATACCTATCACTCTATCGAAATGAGGGAGTCAAAAATTCTGCTTTCCTTTTGTTCATTGCTTAGCGCAGGTTCGGGAATCGATTATGTGTCATATTTTGCATTATATGTGAAGTAGGAGTGGAACATTTGAAGGGGTTTGTTATGAAGAGATCTCTTCGTTGTTTTCTTATCATCTACCTCCCTTAACATCCAGGTTTTCAGTGGAGCTCCTGACTCTTCCCTTCTCAACTCACCAGCTCTTGCTCTCCACAATCACAGACGTCTCTTCGCTACCGACAACAGTGGTGGCGGAGGCTTAGAGGACGAAGGCTCCCCGGTTTCTTCTCACTTCTCCACTCTCTCCTCCTCCTCCCATCGTTCTTCAATCGATGGAATTGATATTGATGTCGATAGAGAGAGCTCGTCACCTCAACTCTCTCTTTCCTTGGGAATGCGTGGTGAACATCAGCGTCGGCTCGCTGTTGCCTCGGCTAAAGACCGAGAGGCTACTCTGGTTGCCCCTAATTCCACCACAGGGGATCAGGTATTTGATCCGTATGTACAATATGAGGTCTATGCAGCCCAAGAAGGTGATCCGGCTACCTGTGAACAGATTGGAAAGGATATTCATCGACAATTTCCTTTCCATGAGCTCTTTTGCTCTAAAAACAGCGGAGGGTGAGTTGTGCCGTTTCTTTATATTTACCTTAATTTGCATTATTTTGTAGTCATTTTGGCATTAAATTGTTAAGTTTTCGTTGAACTTTGCTTTTGAGTTCAACGTGCTTAAATGGAAGTTCAGGTTCGTTTAAAGGAAATTTTTTTTAAATACTGAAAGGCCCATTTTTCTGGTCGTAAGTAGATTGCTATAATGGGTGGTGGTGGTGGGGGGGGGGAGTTGAAATTGACCAAAAATCAGTACTTACTCAGAATAAAGAAGTTCTCTTGTTGCATCATTTTTCCAACTTCTAATGCCTTTGTCATAATCGAGATGGGAAGAAGACAGTTTACAACATAAATATTTCTATTAAGGATAATCTAGTAGAGAACGATTTCAGAGTGTGGGGGTGTAAGAAGGATTGGTCATAGCTAGAATAAGGGGAAGCTTTGCTGAATAAGATAAACCGACAAATAGTTTATTTGAATTCCGGTCTTTTCGTAACATCATTATTGAATCTGTAAATCATTCTTGGATATATTTTTTAAGATTCTTTACTTCAGGAATCCTTAGTTCACAGTTTGAAATCTGACATTTAAATTCAAAAGGCGTCCCTTCATAGCTTTTTTATAAAATACTTTTTACAAAGTCAAGACCTTGATATTAAATAGGAAAATTAGTTCTTTGCGATTAAGTTGGTACTTCTTCGAGCGTTAATGTATTTGGAAAGCTTGATGGGTTCCGTTTTCCAAGCAAAAATTAGCATTCATCTCCACATTACTTCATAATTAATCAATCCCGGTAGAAAACATGAAATCTAAAATACGCTAATTCATGGATAGCGCCGTCAGAATTATCTTCGTGGTCATAGAGTGTTTACCACATTTTTCCACGTACTTTTTGACATTATTTGTTCACATTTCTAGCTGTCATTTGAATTTGACAATGGGTTATCTCTTGTGTTTTAGAATTTCCGCGAATTCTTATAATTAGCATAGCTGTTTGAATATTTATTTATTTCAAATGGCAAGCGTTTTGATAGTTATCATTAACTATTTAGCAGACTTCGGTCTTCATAGAGAGGAGGAGAAACATCAAGTGACAAAAAGTCGAAAGGGGGGGGGACAGAATAATGATTCACAGATGTAACAGAGACAGACAGACCGACAAAAAGATTGAGAAAAGGTAAGGTAAGTACTGTGGAAGGGGTCGAATATGGCATACAGTGGAGTGATGGTAGTTTGAAGTGAGAAGTCAACTGCCAGTTAATTGACTTTTATGCCGTATGAGTATACGTTGCCCAGGGTGCCCAAGTAGGTCTGTCACACACCCTGCTGTTTGGCATTATTTTGTTCATATTTCTAGGCGTCATTTGAATTTGACAATGGGTTATCTCTTTTGTGTTTTAGAATTTGCGCGAATTCTTATAATTAGCATAGCTGTTTGAATATCAATTTATTAAACGCGTAGAATTCCACGAAGTATCTGCAATCAAATGCCAACAGACACCTCCGCAAACCGAGAAATTCATTTTATTCCAAATTTAGATTGTGCCATTTAGCGTCTTTCAGTTGTATTTTACTTAGCACAGACTGATCTTTCGAAGCAGGTACTCTGGTCAAGTGCCTTTTATGGACAAAGGTCATTGTCCCCTCTTTTTGGTTACTATTATTACTAGTCAAACTCGCTTGTCTGTTTGAAAAGGTCGTATCAAAGATAAGTCGAGCAAGAGTGGCATAGGCTTTAATTTGAATCATTACTGATTGAAAGAGAAGAGAAAAATCCGTGGGGGGGGGGGGGGGGGGACGGTTTTTACATAAATTCAATTGTGCTTAGGGCCTCCTGTCCTTTGTTTGAGTTTGGCTTTCAAGGCATGTGGATGGAAGCCGTAGGGCATGTTGTTATTTTCATAATTTCCTGCTTTTCTACCTTATTCGAATTCACGAATTGATCAAGTTTTCAAAACCCAAAATTTCTTTTAAAAGATCATTATCTGTGCTGCTGTGTTCATTTTTTAATTGTCCATTTCTCGTGACCTTCGCAGTTCTTCGATTATGTTAGCTTATGCTGATAACTTTCTGGAACCAATTGGTTGGCTTTTTCATTTACGACTCTCTGTCATCGCTAAATAGATTTAACGCTCTGCGATTATTGGCCTAAAATACATAGCACTACTTTTCAAGCGTTAGCCTCTACTCTCCTTTTAGTAGACTTCATTGTACCACCTACGCTTTTTCACCAACTTAAATGCAACTTCACGT